GTATACCGCAGTATACCTAACAGGAACTCCACTCAATATACCGTAGTACACCTAACAGGAACTCCACACAGTATACCGTAGTACACCTAACAGGAACTCCACACAATATACCGTAGTATACCTAACAGGAACTTCACTCAATATACCGTAGTACCTAACAGGAACTTCACTCAATATACAGTAGTATACCTAACAGGATCTCCCCACAATATACAGTAGTATACCTAACAGGAACTTCACTCAATATACTAAAGTACACCTAACAGGAACTCCACACAATATACCGTAGGAGGAACACCAGTACACCATACAATGTGCCTACTGACAGAACTAATATGCCATAATTATAACTAATAGGAAACCAGAACTGTATGAAGTGATATGTCTGTTTATTAAGATAGATACGGTACATTGTAGTCATTACCACATTAGCCCATTATTGCTGGGTTCATTAGTACAGAGATGTATATCATTGACAAAGTAAGCAACGCATTATGTCTTAGCATTACAGCAAGTTAGTGTGGCCTGATTATTTTGTGTTAGTGAAAACCCGGTGATCAGTTTCTATACTTGGTTACTAAGAGCAGTACAATTCTCTCTACTGGTCCCCCTTACACTGGAGTACTGTACAATGTAAACCTGTACTTATATAACAGGATGTCTGATAAAACAGTACACCAATGTATCATAGCATAGGCAAGTCTGGGGTACCAAATGTGAGGCGAGCCCCTTCAGACATGAAACAAGGTGGTAACTGTCCCAAGGAATTGCTATATAGGCTGATTGTTACACCAGAACAGACTTGGTGTGGAATCAGGTCATGGTATGTGTGGGGGAATGTTCCACTGTGTAGGATACTCACAAATACAATCCTTTTATAGATTAAATACAATTCTATGATGGCCGACAAGAGCCTGACAAAAAGATATGAATTTTCATATCTTTTTGTACCACGGTACACTTTTATATGGTACACAAAGAAAATTCAAATCTTTGTGTACCATGTAAAAGTGTGCCATGGTACACAAAGATATGAAAATTCAATTCTTTGTGTACCATGTAAAAGTGTACCACGGTACATAAAGATTATAAACAACTTTACAAAAATACTCTTTACTTCACATGGATATGTACCAACAGCCGATATAAGCCGGCAAAATGATTTGAATTTTCATATCTTTCTGTATCGTGGTACACTTTTGCCCGGTACAAAAAGATATGAAAGCTTCTCTCCTTTTAGTACTGCGTTACACTTTTTTCATTTCTTTTTGTACCACCTACAGTACAAATAGATATGAAAAAAGTGTACCACCAGAGCATCAGAATGTTGTTATCGGACACTATGACCAGAACTGACCCCGAATAGTGAAGCCCTAATTACAACGTTGAAACAAGTCGTGAAGTTCATTAATCACATCTGATGAAAAACAGAGTTAGTTGCAATTGTGTAAGTATTGGGGCCTTGACAGGGTCTCCAAAAGGGATCAAGGACATCTGTATATTTTTGTCATTTCCCTTGTTTTGATAGATGTCCAGATTATAAAAGAATCGTACAACTAGCTCATCGTATTCCCCCCCAAAAAATATAAAAAGGTAGACTATCCTTCGAAGTAATTAAATTGTTTGTCCCCTTGTCCCCTACGGACCCCATCGGTGTTTTCAACTGATTTGGAGTTTCTTTCATTTGAGAAGTTGAAGCGCATAGAATACATTAGAAATGTAAGTATTAGAATAATAATCCATAATGACTTCCTTTTTAACATAAAACATTTATAAAATTCGGTAAAGGTTATTGAATAGTTGATTTAAATTTAAATGATTAAGTAATAGTTTGGTAACTCATTTGGTGTAATAAAAACAACAGACATTCCGTGCGATAACATTTCATTGTATGTGATAACAGCCTTATCATGGTGTAATTTGTCATACTTGGTAACCTTTACGTCTGATGGTTTCACATGTTTCTGTACCATGGCTGTTTTCGGCCGTTATTGTGGTACAGAAAGATACAAAAGCAACAGGTTGATTTTATTTCTGCTTTCATATCTTTGTGTACCATGGTACACTTTTACATGGTACACAAAGATCTGAATTTTAATATCTTTGTGTACCATATAAAAGTGGACCATGGTACAAAAAGATATGAAAATTCACATCTTTTTGCCAGGCTCTTGTCGGCCATCGTACAATTCTCTACAAACTGTGCAGTAAGGCTGCAGCAAGTTACTCACAAACTGTGTAATTTTGTCAGACTAAAGGCCCAGTCACACAGCACTCCACGTCTAAATCACGTACAAAAAGTTATGAAAATCTGGTGGACGTGGTTGTAAGTGGTAATTTTTGGTCAATTTTGGCTTGGCCGTGCTTTGTACGGGAATGGCCGTCGGCGGCTGTTCAACTGCTAAAGCACTGCCTTAGCACAGCCTAAGCACAGCTAACCACGTCCAGCCACGTGTAAGGTTAAAAATAGGTTCGCACGTGTTTAAACGCGGGAAAAAGTGGCAAGTTACCACGGCTAACCGAGGCCTCATTGTGTCTGTAGCACTGCTGATCACGTGTTCAGCGCGAACGTAAAACGGGCACTCCACTGCCATAGCACTGCCAAATCACGGGTAACCGCGGCTCGGCGACGTCGGAAGCGTAGCTTGCTCCGCATAAAAGCGGTCGCGCACGGCTGGTCTTCACAGTTGCCGATCCAGATCTTCTACAGTCCACACCTCCACGCAAGTTTGTTCGCTGTTTTCTGTTTCAATGATGCCCAGGAAGAATGGTTCCACTGCCAAGAAGAGGCCGACGAAGACCAAGGCCAAGACCAAGGCCCCAGCTGAAGATGAGGCTCGTCAAGAATCACAGGCCCAGGTGACAGTCAAGGTCCAGGTCCATGCTCCTCCTGCTGGTGCTGCCAGTCCAGACCCTGACCCTGAGGCTGATGCTGGTCAAGTTGCTCCTGGAGAAGCTGAGGCTGTTGTGGGTTCATGTTCACCCCTTGACATCTAGACTGCAAGTGCCGAGGTCTCAGAAAATTACAGTATTTTTATAGGCCGCAAATCAGAAGTGATACAGAAGTGATTAGGCAGTGAACAATCGTATTTAGCACTTGTTCGAGACGTCGTTTAACAGGCTTAGGTAGTGCTATGTATGCGGAAAAAATCCACTTATCAGTGATAAGCCGCAAAACACACGCTATTTCTCTTGATACCAACGCGTAACACCCGTCCGATGACCGTGCTCTGCCCGTGACAGACCGCTAAACTTTCGCGTCTTACAGCGTCTTACTGCGTCTCCCCAAGTTTTAATCACTGCCGGAACACGGATTAGCACGTGTGTTTCACGTGTGTTGCACGTCTCTACCACGTGTGCCACCCGTGGTTGTCCGCGGGCTAAAATTTTGAGCAGTTCAAAACTTTTTGCCGCATCCGACGCCGTTCCGATTTCTCCCCGCGTACTGCCACGTCTATAAATCGACTGTAGCTTGTCTTAAACTCGACATCAACGCGAACAACATCGTCTGCTTCACGGGAGACCACTTTTGGACGTGTTTTGGACATGATTAAGCCGTAAAGC